TAATTTTAATTTTTTTAATTTTAAATAAAAATTAATAAAATAAAAAAAGTAATAATTAAATATAAATAATATTATTATTCAATATTTATATAATAAAAAATAAAAACAAAAATAAAAAATCTTATTATTTATAATTTAATAAATAAACTCTATATATTGTAAAATTTTTAAAAAAAAATATAATAATTTCATTAATATAAAATTAAAATTATTAACTATAAAATTAAATAATTAAATAATTAATATTATCAATTATAATAAATTTATTATTAAAAATAATTAATAATTAATATATAAAAAATTTTAAAAAAGAAAATAATAAATTATATAAAATTTAAACTTTTTTATAAAAAATAAAACTTTAATAATAAAAAACTTTTATATAAAAATAATTATAATATTATCTCAGTAATAAATATATTACTTTAATAGTAAAAAAATAATAAAATTAAGCTTCAGTAGTTAGAGACTTATATAATAATAATTTATTATATTATCTTAATAATTAAAGTATTAATTTAATAATATTATTTTAATTATAAAATAATATTATCTAAATATTATAAGAATTAAAATATATTTCTTTATAAATATATTTTATTAAAGAAAAAATTTCTATATAAAATAATATATATTTTATTTTAAATATATATTTTTAATTTTATATATATTATAATTACTATATATTTTATCAATAAATAAAATAAAAAATTTAAAAATTATAAAATAGTAATTAAAAATAATATATTAAATTATTTAAAAATATAAAACTTATAAAGATAATATATAAAACTAATAAAATTAACTTTATAATAAAATTTTATATAATTTATAAAGTTATTATTATAGTTGAGTATAATAAAATATTATATATAAATATTTAAAAAAATAATAAATAAATTATAATTATTAACTATTATAGTAAAGTTATTAATAATATAAATTAAAATTAATCTAATTTAATTCTTAATTATTTATTTATATTTAGCTATTTATTTATTTTTATATTTTAATTTTCAATTTAATATTCTTATTATAGTTATTTAATTAAATAAATAAATTGAAGCTTTTATTTTTTTATTATTATAACTAATTAAATTATAATATAATATTAAACTTCTCTTTTTTATAAATTTTAAGAACTAAGTAGATAAATTTTACATATATATTTATATTAATATTTATATCTATATTTATATCTATATTTATATCTATATTTAACTGAGCTTTTTAGTAACTATAATTATACTAAATATTTAAAATTTTAGTTATTTTTTATTATTTTTTATTATTTTTATCTTTATCATAAAAGCTTCTTTTATTACTTTTTGTCAAAAATTTAAAAGTGTTATTCAGAAGCTCTGCAATTAAAATTAATAGTTTTAGACTAAATGTCAATTTTTATAAACTAAATATCAACTTTTGCATATAGCTTTAAACAGCTCTCAATTTTAATTTTAATTTTATTTAAAGTTCTCATTATCAGATTTTAAAAAATTTATTGATTAAACTCTAAAATTTGACATCTGACTCTTCTCAATTAAAGTTGAACTACATGTTAATCAAACTATTATTAGAGATTTAATTACTCAGTTCTACTATATCTATTTAAATCTAGATTTAAGTATATAAGCAACGATTCTTTCTCAACTAGCTCAAGTTAAAAAATCAAGTAATTAAAACTATAATTCAATCTTTAATCAACTTTCACATATATAAAATAATTTAAATAAAATAATTAAGATAAAAGATAAACTATATAGTCTAAAGTAGAGCTCAAGTAAATCTCTAATAGTCTATATTGTTAAATTTGAATACATTCTCTATAAGATCAGAGTTTAAAAGTGTTCAAATTCTTCAAAGATTTCTCAATTCTATTAGAGTTTCAGTATGTCAATTCATAACTATCTAACTTAGAAGTTAAATTTCTCTCAAATTTAGAAGAAATTCTTATATATTAATGTACCTCACCACTCAATGCTTACTATCACTCAATGCTCATTTCTTTCACTTTATCAATCTTTCACTTTCAATCTCAACATCATGAGCAATGAAGTCTCTATTCAATTAGCACTAGAAGATCTGAGATTGCAAGAGATTTTAAATTATTTTTCAACTGCAAAAAAGTATGAAATCAACTGAAGCATTTTGTCATAATATCAGAAAGATTAGCAGCTCTCAAAGATTAAGACAATCTTTAAGAACAAGAAATCTCTTACTAATTTACAAAAAGATACTTTTATTCAGTATATAAATTGTTTTACAGTTTGTAATATATCTTTTACACTTCAGATTATTCAAAATCTTCTATTTAAAATTATAAAACAAAAGTTTAAAATCAACTAAGTCTCTCACTTTTGCAAATATCATTCAGATAAGCTGAAATCAGTTTATTTACAATCAATCAATTAGAAGTGATAAATTGCAGATAATATCTTATAT